TGCTTCCAAATGGCAGCACTGACCCAATGGCAACACTGACCCAATGGCAGCACTGACCCAATGACAGCACTGGCCGCGATCAGCTGGGTTCTGCTCGGAGTTTCTCAGCACTATCAGCTGATTTGCTTTGATCGTTTGCTGGTTTGGGAAAGCAGGAAAGGAAAAACAATCGACGGTGGAAAAACAACAACAAATAGCTTTGTTGTGGAATGCGCGGGACTTCCCCCCTGGCCCTGCCTCCTCCGTCCAGCAGAGAGGTGCTTGGGGTGCGATAAAATAAAGCGCCTTTTCCACAAGGGGTGTTTGCGGCTGTGGCTTAATGGATCTCACCCTGTGCTGGTTGCGCAAGTTGTCAGATCGCGAAGAATTCACAGCTTTCCTTTTTTGCAGCTGGAATTTTGGAGCTGGACAAGATTTCTGGAAGAGCTGATTTGAAAAACATTCGCGCACTTGACTCACTCTCACTCTGTCCTAAGTAAGTAACATGTGTGTGTATACATGTGTGTGCTTATAGAACGAATGTATACAGATTAGTTTTGGATGTGCGAGGTAGCGAGAGTACATTTTGCTTATACATTACATATTATGTTTATGGCAGAATTTTGATTGTTAGTACATGCAAATTTTTTTTCTTGGTTAGAATGTTCATGTCGGGGTCACCATAAAAAGTGAATACTAGTTTGTATTAACGAACGCGAAACTTGTGTGCCTGCAGTAGAATTCGGCTGATTTATTTCCGATAATGACTTGTGGTTTCGATGGAGTTCAAATGATCACTATCTACCGATTTTTACATGAATGCAAAAAGTTGAAAGATGGGCCAAAACACAATTAACAAAACGCCACAGATTAACTTTCAACTTTTAGCACTCTATACCCGGTTGGCCGACTCGACAATTGTAACTTCCATTTTTAAATCCATATTCCAGCCGCAGCAGGAAAATTAAACAAATACAGTTGTAGCGGCGACGAAGAAACGGCTTGGGCAACAATAAAAGGAACGGCAGAAAAGTTCCAACGACGAATATATTTCGGAAGATTAAACTAGTTAATTTTTAGTCGAACCGACACGAATAATTTGGGTGTGTGTGTTTGTTTAGTAATTGTTTAAGTTTTTCACCGAAAAAAAAATTGGTAAAAAATCACGAACTCTACTGCGATCACGTCGGGGTCACCATGAAAATTTAATACTAGTTTGTATTAACGAAAGCGAAACTTGTGTGACTGCAGTAGAATTCGGCTGATTTATTTGCGATAGTAACTTGTGTAAAAGTTAACGAATATGCGACGACGAAAAAAAATGGGTTTCGATGGAGTTCAAATGTTCACTTAATTTAATGTTCCAATAATTTCTCTTAGCACCCAACTTATCCTAAGGTGGCGAGAGACGGGGCGAATTCGCAAGAGCGAACGGACGAAAGCTTTATTGGCTCTCGCACTCGCCCTACAACTAGTGATATTAATTGAAATAAAAAATAATAAGAATAATTAAAAAGTATAAGACAAGTTAGTTATTATTATTCCCATTATCCAGAGGTGTTTCTTCAGGGAACGGAGAGTGAGAGGCAGAAACAGCAACAACAATCTCGTCGAATTGCTGGATATAGATAGCGTCATCTCTCCCTGTGCAGTTCACATGCACAATCCCATGTCGTGTAATTACCGCAGAAAATGCTTTGAGCTTTTTAAGGCGAATAGCTTCTTTGAAGAAATTATATGTTTTAACCGAAGCCTTACAGGTGTATGCTCAGTTTTCGGTTGTTTGCTCGCCGGTATGTACCCAGTGCATCTCCCGCATCTGAAGTGCGATCATATGACAATGGTTGAGACGTGTCCTTTCTGGCATTACGGATCTTTGTGATGACAAACTTCTTTCATTGCTTTGGATAATAGCCCCATTTCGTCACGTGACCAGGCGCTTTCTTGATCTCTACAGACTTTGTGACTCTTGTTACATCATCTGAATGAAATATGATTAGGATTATTGCTTACTGGAAGCTTAAAGCTATTTGTTGGTGAAAGTGGTTTGAAGACGTTTTCTAGATGGACGGCAAATGTATTTGCCCTCTCTTCGTTGCTGGGAGCCCGATCCCCTGTTTGTGTGTGAAATGGTGATTCACTTCCGATTGGTGGACATATGCCTGGTTTAGCTTTCCACAGTGGAAAGTGCCATTTGGTGAAAGTAGTTTGATATAGGATAATTGACCTTGATTTCTCTCATCTTCTAAGGCTTTGCTTAGTACTGTCCTTCGACGAGGGTTATCTATGGGTGTTCCACTCTCGTTAAAGCCTTCTTTTACTTCTTTTTGAAGACTTTTTTACTGCCTGGCAGTTCTTCAATATGCCTAGCATCACGACTGCTGTTGGAAGGCTTATAAGCAGTTATAATTGTAGTGCAGTGTTGTGCAGCCAGTAACACTCACGCATGTACTGAGCTGTCAATGTCTTCTTTACAGGAAAAGATTGGACAGTAATCAATATGGGTATTAACATTCTTTCTGTATTCAAGCCAATCTTTTTTATTAGCAGTTAAAAAGTGTGGGCGTTCTGCCAGCTGTGGATGGTCATAAAGGTGAAGCAAGACCGGTGAGCGATCCAAAGATAAATCTGATGAAGGTACGGCGAATGTGAGTCTTCGGTACTCTTTTTGTAACAGCAAAATCAATCAAGTCAGGCTTCTTTTTAATATCTGTCGGACCGAATGTAGGCTTGCCTGGAGGGATAAAGTTTATCTTGTTTTGTGGTGTTTTTGTAGCGTTGTAAATTTGTCTTCCTTTGGGGTTGATGAGTCGAGATCCCCATTGCGTGTGTTTTGCATTATAGTCACAAACTGTTATTAAGCGGTCACCTAATAGGTCAAAGAATTTTACAAGTTCTGCTTCGGAGATGGAGAAGCGCGGTGGACAGTATACAGCGGCTATGTTTATATACCCGCTTGAGTGTTATATGTACCCGAGTGTCTTGATGTTACTTGAATATAGGCTGTAGAAAACACCGGCAATTGGTAATGCCTTACTCAATTCTTATCATTACATCCATGGGTCTTACCATTAAGATGGTTTTTCGCAAAAAATGTACAGCCGTTTAAGTGAAAATAGTTTTTGTTCGTTAGGTGAGTCTCTGATATTAGCACGCCGTCAATGTCGTGTTAATTTAGGTTCTTCAAAAGCTCATGTTTGTGCTGTAAAATTCCATTTGCATTCCAGAAAGATAATTTAAGTGTAACCATCTGAACAGATTTTTGTTTAGTTAAAAGCTCCAGGAGACGATTTTGAGTGCGCATAAGCCCCTGCAGAGTTTGAGGTTTTGCTACCATCGTGTTTGTTGTAGTTACCTGCATTGATTCTAATCCACAAGGCAAATGGGATGTAATTTTTGGATAATCCTTCGTGTCTGTTGCTGCATTATTCCTGCAGTGGTTAGATGAAGTGTTGGCTGAGAGGTTGAGGCGTATGACCCGAGTTTTTAACTTTTTTTTGGATAGGGCTATAGAGGCTAGTTGGTGGTGTGGTTTCTCCACAGTTGCTACATATCATGGCAGAATGGTATGCCTTATTTGCAGGGTAGGCCTCAGATGGATGTGCATTTCCACAGGCAACGCAGACTGCGCGCAGAGTGCAATAGGTTTTCGCATGTCCATATTCCTGGCAATTCGTGCATTGGACGGGTCCATTGCGTTTATGTGGTTCCTCTACGCTGATTCTACGGTGCAGTAAATATTAGGTGGCGGCCTTAGTGACTTGGACTTAGGTGATTGAGCAGTTGGGTTAATTAGAATCGATAATTAGATTTTAGTCAGCGTTTTGCAAAGTAATTTCAGTCGTTTTGTTTACTTCGGTTGCGTTTGATTTCCTCTTCGATTGTGGGCTTAATTTTTAGTTGCAATTTTAGTTTGAAGTAACGCTACGTTAGCATTTTTCGTGTTTTTTGGTATGGGTAATGGGATAGGGATAATTGCCAGAAAGAACTGACGATATCGAACGCTGAGTTGTTGACGCTGCATATGATGTGGTAGTTTTAGTCACAGTTTTAAACAAGGGCATTGTGCTGGTTGTTGTTATTATTAGAAGATCGTGTTAAGGTTGCATGGGTCGGGGGACGCGCATTGGACACTCCACAGCTCTTTTATTTTATTTCATTGTTTACAACAATTTGATAATTATCATTGGCATCACGTACTTTAAGCAAATTAAATTTCGGTTAATTTCACTATATTTATAATCACACGGCGGAGCGATATAAAATACCTCTGATGTCGTTGACGGCTTACGTTCTGTTGCAGAAATTGTTGAACAGTGGAGTGTATTATTTTATAGTGGAGGACGCTGGGAGACACTTGTAAGGGAAACACGCCAAAAGCAGAACAATTAATAGTTGTTTTGTTCACTGAAAAAACTTTTTGGAGCTCCAATAAACACGACTGCTTGCCAGAGAGTACATTTAGTTTTTTTTAATAATAAAAAATTTAAAATATTAGTTTTGCTTACAATAATAATAAATGCGATAGTGGAATTAATTGCATAAATATAATAGTAATAAATAAATACCTCAAGTCATAAACCCTAGCATGTTTGACAAACATAAAATATTTTAAAAACTACTATATTTATATTTTTATGCGTCTATTCATAAGACACTGAAACTATGTCGATTTTTCGCTTCATTTTTGCCATGGTAGTTATTTGATATCATTGTCCGATTTTATTTATTTTAAGGACCGTATGTCTGAAATGGTAAGCCATAACTTTATTTCGAAGTATGTATAAATCGAATAAGAGCGAAGCTATAATTTTTGTAACATTGTTCTATTGGGTGCTTTATGCAAAGTAGAATTTTAATAATAGTTTTTTTTATCTTTCGCGATCTCGTGGGAGTTCAATGAAGCTCATAGGTAAACAGATCTACAACTCCAAACGGTCGGCCAGTTAAATAGTGCAAATAACAAAATTGACTAAGGAGCATTTTTAAATAAAATAATTTGTGACTTACGTTATACTTACCTTAAACATATAAGCAAAACGAACTCTTGTTGTACTATATCGACTATTCAAAGCAATATCTCTAAAGGCGACTCTAGCAAAATCGTTTTTTTTATTCTTATCAGTTATAAGAATCACACACAATCGTTTCCTTGGACGGTTCCATTCAGTTGGGCAAACACCTATAATACAAAAAACAAATTGTTAAAAATTTCTCCAATCACACATGTTTTTTATACCCTTGCAGAGGGTATTATAATTTCAGTCAGAAGTTTGCAACGCAGTTAAGGAGACATCTCCGACCCTATAAAGTATATATATTCTTGATCAGCATCACTAGTAGAGTCGATCTAGCCATGTCCGTCTGTCCGTCCGTCTGTCCGTCTGTCCGTCCGTTTATATGCAAACTAGTCTCTCAGTTTTTAAGCTATCTGCATGAAACTTTCCCAAAAGTTGTTTTTCTATTGCAGGTAGTATATAAGTCGGAACGAGCCGGATCGGACGACTATAGCATATAGCTCCCATTGGAACAATCGGAATAATAAATGAAAAAAATTATAACTTTTCTGTTTTTTAATTTTTTGTTCAGTTCTTCGACATATAGCAATGGTTAAATATTTCAGAATTATGGTTTAGATTTTATCAAAATCGGACGTCGGGAGTCAGATATAGTTCCCATAGAAATAATAAAAAAAAATAAAATAACTATCAAATAATTGAGCTGCTAATCATCATAGCTTCAATGTTTTTAAACATATACGCAAGTAAATCATAATTTTAATGTTTTCAAAAATGTTAAATTCTTGCAATAGCTGCAAGGGTTTATGAACTTCGGCTTGTCGAAGTTTGCTTTCTTTCTTTTTTTTTTTTTTTGTTACTGCACACCGATTATGGCTGTTTGGGAACGTTATCTATCATTGTATTATATTCACCTAAACAAGGTCTTAAAAATCCTAGTCTGAACCTTCCCCGTACTGCCTCGAGACAATCAAGTGGTCCCCGATGACGCTCAGTGCGATCTCTCGCTAAGGCTTCCACGTACCTTGTGTGCGAGGAAACCATGGTGCTTGGCAGCTAGGCATAAAATGCTTTGGGCGCGTGGTTCGCCAAATATAGATCATGCCGGAGGTCCCAACAGATCAAACGCAGGTTGGGATGTCAGTTCAAACGACGGTGGAAGTCGTGGCTGCTACCACCAGCGGGCACGGGGAAGAGCAATCCTCTCTGCGTGTCAGGAGCATTCTTACCTCTGTCCTGGCCTGAGGTAACCCAGGACGGAGGCAAGGCTACAGAGCCTATAAGCCTGCCTCACCCCAAGGTTTAACACCTGGAATCTGAAACCAGGAGCCAGGAGGATGTCGGTCTCGCTACGACAGACGAGAAATAGGTTCAGGCCTTTGCCTGAGGGGCAATGGGGGTCTGGCGGACTCCAGGGACACTGGTAAGATGGACAGGACAGGACCCACATATGGACCCAAAACCACACCACCGAACGATGACAAAATGGACGCTTCAGTCGACGAACTTTCTAGTAAACAGAGCAGTGGATACCGTTCATCGGTAAATTTCTTTAAGAATTTGGCCATGGAGAACCCCACCCTGCTTACACAGACAGAACGGAGGCTGAAGAAGGGGCATGAGTTCAACGTCAGGAAGTACGAGTGGAGATCCGCGGCGAACCGCACTCTCATCGCTCCAGGCTAAAGCTCTACCACACACACGGACACGAACAGGACGAAGCATAGATCGAACCTTAGCCGATTTGGGGAAGATGGAGCCCCCCTTTACTCCAGAAACTGCACCGGGCAACCCGGTAACGGATCAGCCGGCGAAGTCCATCGACAAACCGAATACCATGCAGGCTCCCTTCAACCTCTACGGCTGGCAAGACGGCATTGGGGGAGTCAGATATAACACTTGTAGGACCAAAGCCTAGAGCTTCCAAGGGCAGGCCAAAGCCACAAGCCACTGCAGTTAACGACAAGAAGAAGCGTCCTTCAACCCAGAGACCGACAAACGAGGAAACCGGAAAGCTCCAACATTTTCCAGCCCATCGGGAACTGGAAGCCATAAAAAGGACTGAGGGGCTAAAAGACTTAGGTAGAGTGATTCCACAAAGACGTACACCATTAATAAGAGCAGGCTTCAAGAAATTCTAGCATGCTTGGACCCCAATAAGGACCTCACGGTCGGGCACGGGCTCATTCTGGAGGCCTTCATTATAAATGTCATCTACGCCGTCATTTCTAACCGGGACAACCCGTTTAACCCAATCTTTAAGGCCATAAATTGATACAAAGAAACCAAAGCCGTTGCAAGTGCCAACGGGGAAACCGTTAGTTTTCTCAAAGACGTAATCATCGGAGTCGAAGAACTTTGGGCAGGGGCGTCGAACAGCCTAACAGTGGTATAGATTAATCTGCACCATTCCAGGGTACCATCGGCGGACCTGCTGCAATTCATGGACGAGAGAAAAGTTGACGAACCGCTCATCCCAGAGCGCTTGATCCTCGGTGAAAGGGTCTGCGGACTGGGTGCTCGCAGCTACCTTCCACTCCCCAGGATGGCGGTAAGCCAAGGACATGTACCTCTTTACTGCTCACCGAAACTGACTGTAGCGTTATGAGAGAGAGAGAGAGGCAAACCTCTCTATTTGGTTTCGACATATTTGCCATATGAAGAAAATGACCCACCCTGTGAGAACTTTAGCAATCTAATCTCTTACACTATGTGATGCGAATGTTCACAACTCCCTCTGGAGAAGATGGCACCAACGGCAGAGGGGAGTCACTGTTCGATTACAAACTCGACACAATTCTCGTTCTGGCAAAGAGCGGAAACCACCCAATTTTCCGTAATAGGAACCGTGAAGAGGTTATTGATTCATAGCATTCAAGCAGTAACGCCCGCGACCTTACTGACTGGAGAGTGTCCAGTGAGTGCTTCTTCTCGGAGAAGCACTAGAGCAGAACCATACAGGAACCCTAAAGAGACAAGCTGGTCAAAGTTCTCAGAGAAAGTCAGTGGGACACTTCCCGCTCCCCCGAGGAGGCCACCCCCGAAGTAGACACACTCGAGAAATCGGAAAGCCTAGTCAACCGGTCTCTGGAGGGAGCCTTTCTCTAGTCCTGTCCGGTCAGCAGACCGCCAAAAATCCATCGCTAATGCGTGGTGGACAAAGGCTCTAAGACAGTGTAGGACGGATACAAGTAGGCTCTTCAACTAGGTCAAAAGGACCAATCAGCGTGAGGACTGGGATGAATACAGGCTCAGTTTTATGCTTCAAAGAGCAACTGCAGGAAAGCAAAACGAAAATCCTGGCATAGATTCTGTGAATCAGGCACCACACTGGGCATTCTCCCTTACCTGGACGGCAATTACACAGAAATACACCCGGAAAACCCAGAATCTCCTTATGAGTACTTACTTTCCTGGATGTACAGTGTCGACGAAGATCCAGGCGGCTAGCCCGTTGAGATCACAGGCCATATGCACACGAGGGATGTAGAGCTTCTAGACGAGATCATCACAAAGGAAAAAATTGTTTGGGAAATGAAGACGTTCAAACCCGGACCGGACGGCATAAATCTTGTAATGCTCCAAGCGGCTACCAAGGAACTCGTTCCCAGGCTGTTCATGAATTTCTAGTGGTGCCTTCTGCTGTGATACATTCCCAAAAAGAGAGAGGTGAGGAAGTTCTTCTTCCCCAAAAGCTGGGAAGATAAGCCACTGCTAACAGAAGTCTACAGGCCAATAAGTATACCATCGTTTTCTCTGAAAACCTAAGAACGACCAGTGGATCTGCACCTAAGGAGCCGCATGCCGCATGAGTCCATGCTCAGACGCCGTCTGATCAACTCCACTCTTGTAGAACCTTGTCTTGAACGTCCTCCTGATTATGCTTCGACACACAGCATGCACGGCTTGTGCAGACGACTTAGTTTTTTTGATAACGGGGAGGTTTCTCTCCACAGTCAGCGAGCTGATGGAGTCCTACTTAGGACTCACACTCAACTGGACGTACGCACACGGTCTGGCTGAACTCGTACTGTTCACAAGGAAGTACAAGATACCTGAGTTGAATCTTTCATGCTTGGGGTCATGCTATCGAAGAAAACAAAGTATCTAGGGGTTTTCCTAGACGCAAAACTCTCCTAAAGTGGGAACACTAAGGAAAGACGGGTACTGCGCCCATACATCATTAACTGGTTGTGCACAGCAGTCGTCTGTCTCATTCTTACCTATGGATCGCTTGTATGATGGGGTGCGACCAACACCAAGACCCATCTGGCAAACCTTCTAAAGGTCGAAAGAGCAGCCTGTCTAAGAATATCCGTTAGATTCACTCCCCGGGGGCACTCAATGCCCTACTGAATTTGACACCGATAGGCATAATCCTTAAGCAAACAGCAGCAAGAAACGCGTTGCCAAGGACTACTGGTCACGGATCAATACTATATGTTATGGGGTGCCGAACCGAGTTAGGAGAATGTTACTATCGCCCTTCGGAAACTAGATGGAATAGGAAAGACAAGATATCTATTCCCTCTAGGGAATTTCGAAACAGCAACGATGTACGAACACAGAATGTAGTGGAAATCTTTACGGACGGATCGGAATCTGAGGTGGGGACAGGGGCCGGAGTCTTTATGGGCTAACATATCCAACTCTTCTTCAGGTTACCGGATTGGTGCAGCGTTTTCCAAGCGGAGATTTATGCGATCTGGCGATCTTGCTAGCTGGTCGCGAGCTGGGAGTTCCCTCTTAGTGCAGAGGTCATCTTCGTAGACAGGAATAAAAGCTCTACAAGCGCTTGGAACGCCATCAGCACACCCAGCTAGTGCTCAGTTGGGTGCCTGGCCATTATAGAATAACGGGCAACGAACCTGCAGATGAGTGTGTAAGACAAGGGTCAGCCTCACCGCTCTCAACGTCTGCCAGAGACGTCTCAAAACCACTACAGGACTCACTCGCCGCACTAGAAAGCACGGTGAGGGAGATGGCACAAGGCCACTGGCGGAACGCCTTCGGCTGCGTCATCTCCAATGCTATCTGGCCGGATTTCAATGAAAACGGGCCACCGAACTCTTACCCTCAACAAGAACAGGATTTGGAGCTTAACAGGTGTAATAACTATTCCATAGGCCGATTGGCCAGTAGGTACACGACTTCTGCAGAAGCT